GTGGCGGGGTAGTGGTGGTAGGTAGTGGTGGTAGGTAGTAGTGGTGGCAGGTGGTGGTGGTGGTATTGCTGCTAGAGTAGTGGTATCGGGTATTAGTGGTGGTGGTGGTGGTACTGCCGCTGTGGTAGTGGTGGCAGATATAGGTGTCGGGAGATGGTGTAACTAGCAGTGATGTAACTATTTACCTGACACCTGTAAGTAAACTCTGGGATAAGGAAAGATACACATTGGTTCAACAGTAATGGTGTGTAGACTAAACACCTTTTTATATAATAATTTAAATGTTCGTATGATGTTTAGGAACTGCTGTGTGTGTGTGTGTGTGTGGCGTAAGGCAGGTGCGTAAAACAAGCGACGATTCATAAACAAGGTGTTATTAGTTGCGTATGAGATGTATAGACGAACGTAAATCTAAAATTATACTTAAATCAGTTAAAGTTAATGATTAGAAAATAATACCTTAAGGTTTCCTATTTAAGATCTTCATGTATCATTCACGAATCAATATACATCATTATACAACACCTATACTAATTATTAAAACATACAGGTGCAAAAAAAAAAGGTCAACCAAACACCTTTAAAATTTCACAAAGGTAATCCAAGAACCTCACATTAAATAAATTACTCACATTGTCATTCCTCTCCACTGGACACCACCATTTCACTTAATCCTAACAACAAGCTTTGACAGGACATGCATACAGACAGACAGACAGACAGACAGACATATACCAAATACGGTATCTCCATTTACCACTACATAATTATACGGTTAGGGAAGGTGGGTCATAAAAATCTTGGGCAATTAGGTTATGTTGTTTAATATAAAGATCGTATTCTACAACACCGCCGCCACCTGCTGGGAGTCGCTAGTCCTGACACATGATTAGCCGCATTCATTATCCTTTTGTGTCATTCGTAGTGCGAGTCTTACCCTATGGAGGAAAATGCTGAGGAGTTGTGTTATTAAGAGACGTACGTTGTTAGAATACATTAGTTGTTTTAGGGAGGACGTCGATAAAATACATGTTTTTTTTGGTGAGTTATTGTTAGGTTAGCGAGAAAAGTATTGTATTTAAAGAGTGTATCGTCAGAGTACATGCATTTTAAGGTGTGTAGCGTTACTTAAAAGAGTGTATCGTCAGAGTACATACGTTTTAAGATGTGTAGCGTTACTTAAAAGAGTGTATCATCAGAGTACATGCGTTTTAAGGTGTGTAGCGTTACTTAAAAGAGTGTATCGTCAGAGTACATACGTTTTAAGGTGTGTAGCGTTACTAAAAAAGAGTGTATCGTCAAGATATTAATACGTTTTATGTGTAGCGTTATTTAAAAGAGTGTATCGTCAGAGTACATACTTTAAGGTGTAGCGTTATTTAAAAAAGAGTAACGTCAGAGTACATACGTTTTAAGGTGTAGCGTTACTTAAAAGAGTGTATCATCAGAGTACATACGTTTTAAGGTGTGTAGCGTTACTGTAAATGTATCGTCAGAGTACATACGTTTTAAGGTGTGTAGCGTTATTTAAAAGAGTGTATCGTCAAAGTACAGAACTCATGTTTGAAGATAATGTCGCGTTACTCAAGATGTGTATATTATTATGATGGTTATTTCAGGGAATATACCTGTTAAATGCGTATATATATATATTTTTTTAAGGTACCACTGTATTAATAAGATGCGTATATTATTAAGATTTATATAAAGAGGATTAGTTATTAAAATTATTAATACGTCTCCAAGTATGAAGTTTGTTAATGATTTTATAATATGTATGCAAATGAGTATATTATTGAAGTAAGTGTATTTTGAGCAACCAGTTTATTATAATGTATATGATTCAAGGTTATGTTCATAGAATTTATATGTTTATCGTGTTATGTGTATTATGTGTATGTTTTTGGATTTTTTTTTAATGGAACGTATTGTTAGTTGCATCTAAACAGCTTCTCACTACACATACAGAGGGAGGAGTTGTATACGTCTTGTAATTTTTCATTGTTGATGGATTAGTGTAATTACTGACCTTGTTACGTGCTTAAAGACCTTAGTTGTTAAAGTGTAGTGATAATAACATTGTAACGTCCTCCTGCTCCTCCTCCTATCCCCTACCCTTCTCTACTTACCTCTTTCCCCTCTCTGCCTCCCTCTTCCCTGCTCTACCTGGACCCCTCCTCTCTCTCTATCTCCCTCTTCCCTACTCTACCTTCTACCTCCTTACTCTGCTTACTCTTCTCCCCTCTCAACCTGCTTCCCCCCCTCTCAACTCCCCTCCTCTCCCCTCATCCTACCTACCTACCTACCTACCTACCTACCTACCTACCTACCTACCTACCTCTCCCTTCCTAGTCTCCCCCCCTTCCTCCTCGGCCACACAAGAATATATTCCAGCCTCGGTGTGTCTCCCATAAACAATATAATTTGCAATTATTCACCAACGGCGTCAAGATATGTATTGGCGTCTCTCTCTCTCTCTCTCTCACATATCACACCTGATGCACATAAACCATCACGAGGATAAAATCAGACTTAAATTGCTTCCTTTTATAATAATAGTGGACACGTATCTCTTCCCACCTCTTTCCTCCTCTTCCTTTCTTCTTTGTCTTTTTTTTTTTTGGTCCTTCTATTTTCCTCTTCTTCTTCTTCTTCTTCTTCTTCTTCTTCTCCCACCTTTCTTATTTCTTTCTTTCTCGTATTGTTTCTTTCGTCCCTTCTTCCCCCTTCCTTTTTCTTTCTCTTTCTCCCTCTTTCCTCTTTCCTTCTTCTTCTTCCTTCTGTCTCCCCTCGTTCCTCCTTCCTTTTTCCTCCTTCTTCCCACTTCTTCCTCTTTTCCCCCTCTTCCCTTCTCTACAACAGTGAAATTGTGTGAATTACCTCTCTCTCCTACTCCACCACCTCCTTTCATACTGGTATATAGAAATATTTGTATACAGCATAGGGATTGTAGTAGAGGGAATAGTGGTAGCTGAGAATAGTGGTACTTGGGGATAGTTGTAGCTGAGGATAGTGGTAGCTGAGGATAGTGGTAGCTGAGGAGGATATTGGTAGCTGAGAATAGTGGTAGCTGAGGATAGTGGTAGCTGAGAATAGTGGTAGTAAGGGATAGTAGTAGCTCGGGATAGTGGTAGCTGGGATAGTGGTAACTGAGAATAGTGGTAGTAAAGGATAGTAGTAGCTCGGGATAGTGGTAGCAGGGAATAGTGGTAGCTGAGGATAGTGGTAGCTGGTAATAGTGGTAGTAAAGATTCGTAGTATTAAGGAATAGTAGTAGCTTGGATAGTGGTAGTAAGGGATAGTTATATCTATGAATCGTGGTAGGTGGGTGATAACACTAGGATATACTGTAGGATAGTAGTCTGAGAATAGTATAATACAAAACGGTCAGGATAGTTACAAGATAGTTACAGGGTACTACAATATCATGGTAATATGTGTGTGTGTGTGTGTGTGTGTGTGTGTGTGTGTGCGTGTGTGTGTGTGTGTGTGTTTGTTATTCATGAACATATACTATAAATGCAACCTAATGTTTTAAAATAATCATCACTTTATTCCCATCGATAATATAATTGAACTTAATGTTGAAGTGATATCTGTTCAACATTACCTATAGTTGAAGGAGTGATACTGAACACCATCGTAAACTACCTTGAAATCCCACCTTACAACCAAGTATTTTGTGTTGATGTACAGGTATAATGAATGGCACACCGTATGTCATTATAAATCTGTCTCACGAACTCTTGAATGTAGAGTAACTAAAGCTCTATTAAATGTTATGTCAGAGATGGAAGTTTAGCTTCATTGATATATACTTAAACATGAGCGTATAATGACCTTGTTTACGGTTGATATGTGAAAAATAGTGAAAGTTGTTGAGCTGTATTTTGAGATTCTGGGATGATGATGATGATGTTAAACTCTAGGGAAAGTTCACGCCACGCCAGACCTATTGTTGTTTTGTATTAACGGGACGGAAAACGTGTTAATCCTTATTGTAAACCACTTTCTTTAGCATCACACACACACACACACACACACACACACACACACACACACACACAACATATTTACATACATCTGTGAAGGAATTATAGATCTCACACCATAATATTTACCCTTACCATCAGATAGCATACGATATGATGGAGTTTCGTCATTTATCACAGGATTTCAAAGGCTAATGGAGGCGTGTTAGTGAATGTAAGACTGCCCCCCCCCCGGTACAAGATGTTTGGTTATTTAAGGCAATTTACTGAGATACTGTTTCTGGTGAGGGAGTCTTAATTTACTTTACTCTACATTATTTATTGGGTATAATTTTCTTGATTTTTATGTGGGATTATTTTTCGTCCCTCAACCACCAACACCACCACTACCACCACCAACGCCAACACCACCACTACCACCACCAACGCCAACACCACCACTACCACCACCAACGCCAACACCACCACTACCACCACCAACGCCAACACCACCACTACGCCACCACCAACGCCAACACCACCACTACCACCACCAACGCCAACACCACCACTACCACCACCAACGCCAACACCACCACTACCACCACCAACGCCAACACCACCACTACCACCACCAACGCCAACACCACCACTACCACCACCAACGCCAACACCACCACCACTACCACCAACGCCAACACCACCACTACCACCACCAACGCCAACACCACCACTACCACCACCAACGCCAACACCCACTACACCACCAACGCCTAACACCACACCACCACCAACGCCAACACCACCACTACCACCACCAACGCCAACACCACCACTACCACCACCAACACCACCACTGCCACCACTACCACCACCAACACCACCACTGCCACCACTACCACCTCTATCAAAATAAATAACATATTAGAATTAAGCTCAGGTGATTTTGTATGTGTTCATTATGTCCTTCATGAACTTTTTTCACCAGAGATGTCCTTCACCTTACAGGATCCTACAGGTACACAACATCGTCAGGTATGGAGGAGGTGGAAGATGCTCACATGTGTCTCCGCTGTCGTGCCACCATCGTCGGCCTCAACAACTACGTTAGTCACAGGCAGGCGGGGTGTGTCGCCTCCACCACATCCCAGAAGAGGAAGCAGCTTGAACAGGAGCCACCAACAGAAGACGAGGGTAGAGATGACTACAGGAAGGAGGACGACTCGCAGAAGACCGACAGTACCCGGGAGACAGCTGTACGGTACTCGAGCAGCAAAAACCCCTTTCCACACGACGACTCCAAAATCACAAGCCACGAGGGAACTCATGAGACTTTGGCTCATCACGGGGAATATTTAGACGGTTCTAAGTATGATTCATCAACCTCGGTAACCCTGAGAGACTGTTATGTCGAGCAGCCCACACAGACAACAGAAGACCCACCTGTCACTAGGGCTGAGGTGGGGCACCTCCACGACTCCTACACAGTCATGGAAGAGTTCACCACCTCCATGTCGCAGCAACACACCGAACCTCAGATGAGAAATAGTCATTCCTCACTGAAATCTAAACCCCAGGAATCTCTCTCACTCAATCATAGACCGAACACTTCACAGGCTCCCTTCACTGGCTACGGCGACCCTCTTCTGCCTCACAGCCAGGAGTCAGCCAATATGACACTCTTCAGACACTTTGACTCATTCAGCGACCACAATAAAATCCAACACGAAGGGGAGTCAGAAACTCACAGTGAAGCCATTGCGTTATTTAAAGTGGCGTCCACGTCATATGAGCTTGAAAGTCAGAATTTTGAGTCGAGGTATTCTGATTTTTATTCCCTTCAGCCTGCCCCCCAGGAGCCTCTGCTGACCACTGTCCCGACACTCGAGCAATGTAAAGCTAAACAGGAAACACAAACTGTTCACAAAATCGAAGATAATGTTGAAATTGAAAACACTAAAGAGAAAGAACTAGACAGGGAGAAGAGGAGGGATCAGGAAATACGAGGCAGTGACTCAGAGTTTAGAGAAGGTGACCTTAAGTACAGCGAGACTCACATGTCACCGGACAACGAGCACACTGCTCAGGAAAAGTCGGAACTGCGACAAGACGATTTTCTTTCATCTCTTGAGCTCAGGAGTAAAGCACCGGCGAAGAGACGGCACGAGGATGACGAGGAAGAGTTTGATGAAGATGATGACGATGAAACCGGGCCTCCACATCACCACACCGGAGGTAAATGGAGACCAGGAAGCCGACCCCCGCCATCTGTTGGAGGCAAGTGGAGACCAGCCACACCAAAGAACGAACTGGAAGAGGACGAAGAGATGGAAGAAGATGATGCAGAGGAAGATGAAGACTCACTCATGCCACCTCCCCCAACATACACTAAAGGAAAGTGGCTTCCCGGTAAAAAAATGACTAACATTATAAAAGTTGGAAGCAGCGTGGAGTACCACTGCCACGCCTGTAACCGGACCCTCAAGGGTAAGGAGACTTATGAGCGTCACTTGAACTCAGAACTCCACTTCGTCAACGAGAACAAGGCGTCAGGGAGGAAGGCAACTAAAATCTGTAAAGAAGTTACTCCTACATTAGTTTCCGGCAGACCCGTCAGATCAACAAAATTGAAGGCGCAGAACTTTCTCAAGTCGACCATCGCACAGTTGAAGAGCAGGAAGATTGTTTCTGTTGATGACAAAAAGACTAACCAGACCTTAAAGAGAGCTACTGGCAATACGTATAAGAATGCAAATGAAACTCTGACGGAGAGTAAGTTACTCTACGCGCAGAAAGAAGTGAAACAGGAGCCAAATGTAGACGAGGAGGAGGAAGAGGTAAAGAAAGTTTCACTATGTACTCCCAAATTATTATGTCCCATTTGTAAACTGTCCTTCGGCGAGGCTTACGCAGCGCTGCACTTTGCTTCTCTGGCTCACATCCACAACGAACTGGAGTATAGGCAGAGCAGGTGTGAGGAAATTGATTCTAACTTTAACCAAATACTTCTGCAGAACTTCAGCGCCATTGTCAAAACTTCGCCGTTTCATTGCAGCGGCTGCAAGTTTTACTGTAACTTGCAAGAAGATTTTTTAGTTCACATGAAAACCCATGTTGACGACCCTGAAGACGATGAAGTGAAGACTCTGTTTTCCTGTTCTGCTTGTACTGACGAAGAAGAGATGCGGCTGTCGGGCATCCTTCGGCACCTGCAGACGCCTCACCACCTGGACAACGCACGAGACACAGTACTGCAGGCGCGCCAGGTGGTACTGAGCAGCAGGACGGGGGTGGTGTGTCCACTTGGGGACGGAACCTTCAGGTACATGCGGGAGTACCGGACACACCGGAGGGTTCATCATCAGGAACCTGGCTTTCAGCTCAATGATCACCGGCTCCTTCGCTGCCCTCAGTGCAGCTTCAAGGCGCTGCGTGAGCGGCAAATCCGTACACACATTCGGGAAACTCACGATACATCGAGCGGTAAAAGCCATTCCTATCACTGTTTTGTCTGTGGCCTCGCCTTCTCGACCCATAGGCAGGCTGAGCTACACAGGCGGTCGGCTGAGCATCGGACAACATTGGGACGACAGCGCGGCCTCTCCGTGGTGAGGACGTGCAGTCTATGTTACGTGGAGGTGGAGGACCTCCCTGCACTCCGGCGACACATGTGTCAGGAGCACCAGAAGGACTGCACGCCATGTCACTTGTGTGGTGTTGTGCCCCCACTCCGTTCTGACTTGGCTCAGCACCAGCGGGTGTGTCGAGGCGTACCTGGCGACCTGATGGGGGACCACAAGTGCGACCTGTGCACTTTCAAGAATGACCTGTTAGCTCACGTGCTCACACACAAGACGCTCGCACATGGCCAGCGTGGACCTGACGGCCGGCACGCCTGCCATATATGCAAGGTGAGTCACAGTCGATATTCCTTGCATGTGTGTTTGTGATTGATGGTCACTTTGTCTTGTCATACTTCGAGGTTGGTGTAGGAGGGTGACTCACAATAGCCAGCTGTGTAATTTTATCTCAAACATTTTCTTCTTACGACAGACCAACCTCCGGCTCTCCTCCGTCAAGGGCCACATGTTGAACCACAGTAATGAGTGGCCACACCCCTGCCACCTTTGCTCCAGGAAGTTTCCCCAGCAGGTGTGGCTTGAGAGGCACTTATCAGTAGTCCACACCCACGGCGGCAGCTCCCACGGCCCCGCCCTTTGTGACACCTGCGGCAAGACACTTTCTAACAGGTAAATCAAACAACAATTCCTCGCTTGAATATTTATCCTCCAACTAATGTAAAATAGTTCTTGTTGTGTCCTTCAGTGAGCGATACATCACTGACTGATATGTATCTGATTCCAACTAGTAATCTATAGCACCACCCTAGAGTGATCATCTGGTCAAGAAAACGTAGAGTATTCATTGATTTTATGCTAAGCACCCCCACTCCCCCCCCCATACACCCCCACACCCCTCATACACCCCCACACCCCTCATACACCCCACACCCCTCATACACACCCCCACCCCCGTCACAAGACCCACATAATCAGAGGTAACTCGTGTCTCTGTCTCTGTAACTCACTAAAGAAACGTTCTCTGAGTAACCGGGAAGACCATCATAAGATCCAGGTCACTTCACGAGAAATCGATAACAACAGTAAGTGGGCCACAAAAACACACACACACACACACAAAAATCCTTCAATGAGAGATAAAATTCAGAGCCGAAAAGTTTACACTCGGCTGTAACCTCTTAGGAGATCACTATGAATCTAAACTGTATTTTCTGTAACATACCCGTCGACGACTTCATTACCACGTGTTCAAAAGTGACACTGTACTCTTTGTTTAAACCTATACAGGTGCTCAGGAGACGCTAAATAAGTGTGACTGAGGAACCAAAATTCCTAAAGTGATGGTATTAACTGTGAACTTTTAAAGGTGGACCATAAATACTGGGACAAAAGAATACTCCCACCTGAGCTATAGGGAGATTATATAACATATCCCAAACCAAGATGAACAGGTAAGGTGAGTACAGGTATTGCTTAGGTACAGGTACTAATTGCGTACAGGTAGTGAGTGGGTACAGAGGAGTGAGTTGATCCTTGAATGGATTTCTGTACCAGGAGCCACTTTAGATATACACAGTTACCATGACGCTGTAGAGAATCCTGGTCCTAAAGACACACTCAAGATGTCTGTACAGTCATTAATTTAAGCTGTAAACTGTACCACCACTGGACCCTTAAAAAGTTATAGGGTTAAAATTAACTAACATTTAAGGGTTACCTCTCACCACCAGATGGCACTTACATCGGCACCAGGTAGAGGCCCACACGCATTCCGCCCCTGCAGCACCATCTGACCAGCAGGACCTGGAAGCATCAGACCCTCGCCAGGAACTTGAATCTTCTTCCTCTGAGCGCGGCCGCAGGAACAAGAGGACGATGGTGCCCCACCCTCCCTCCCCGTCCCCGGTGCTGTGTGATGTGTGTGGTGTCCAGTGCGAGTCTCCCAGCATGCTTAAGATGTGAGTTGTTTCATGAACAGTGTTTTGAGTAGCCTGTAGTGCTGTAGTGAGTATAGTCTATGATTTTGTGAGTAGCCTGTAGTGCTGTTGTGAGTAGTCTATGATGTTGTTTTGAGTAGCCTGTATTGTTGTTGTGAGTAGTCCATAATGTTGTTAGTAGTCCATAGTGTTGTTTTGAGTAACCTGTAGTATTATTTTGAGTATTTAATATTGTTGTGAGTAGTGTATGTTGTTTTGAGCAGTGTAATAACGCATCAAGCTGTTTATTCTAATGCCTCGTTAAGTACTAGCAGTAAAAGAAACACACTGTTTATTATCATACCCAAAGAATTGATAAACAAAACGAGTTTCTCCAGATGACAGAGTCGATAAGTTGAACCAATCAGATCGTTTATACTGATATTATACTAATTAACGAATCAAAAATGTTTATTCTCATTTTGCTTATATACAAATCGAATTTCTTTTTTGTCTTCTGTATATAGTCGGATTATATTTCCCTATTGTCACGGATACATTATCAAATCAAACTGTATATTCTTTTATTAAACGAATCAAATAATTTCTACTGATGTCTTTGATAATTAATAAATGAGTCAACATTGGCCTTGTTTACAGAAGGCTGCCCACCATCATAATGTGAAAGGTTAATGTTATGAATGACAGTGCATTTCAAAGCCTTTATCACGACTTGATTGAACAAACACTCCGGGGGTGATAGTGGTCCGCTGGTTTATGATGGCGTCAGTCTGGCGCCACTCAGATTATTGTCTGTTGTGAGGATCATCAGCATGGGCAGGTAGGGTATGTAGTCGTGCAGGCGTAGACAGGTAGGTCGGTACAGGTAGGTCGTGTGTAGTAGACAGGTAAGTCAGGCGTAGACAGGTAGGTCGTGTAGACAGGTAGGTCGTGTGGACAGGTAGGTTTTGTAGACAGGTAAGTCTTGTAGAGAGGTAGGTCGTATAGACAGGTAGGTCATGTAGACAGGTAGGTTTTGTAGACAGGTGGGTCGTGTAGACAGGTAGGTCATGTAGACAGGTAGGTCGTGGGGACAGGTAGGTCATGTTGACAGGCAGGTTTTGTAGACAGGTAGGTCTTGTAGAGAGGTAGGTCGTATAGACAGGTATGTCATGTAGACAGGTAGGTCTTGTAGACAAGTAGGACATGTCGACACACAGGTATAGACAAGTAAATTAATCTTGAGTCTGGCTGTTTGTAAGGTCACCTCAATAACCTTGGACTGGACACCATCTGAAGAGGAGCGGAACGGGGAGGAAGAGAAGTAGGAAGGGTGGAGGGAATGGGAGGGAGATGACAGGAGATCATGGTGGAGGTGAGAAGAGGGAGGGGGTGAGGGAGAAAGTGGGAGGATGAGGGGGAAGGTGGGAAGAGAGAGAGAGGAGGGAGAAGGTAAAAGATAGTGGGAGGAGGAGGAGGAGGAGTAAGGTGGTGGGAGAGGTAAGAAGAGGGAGAGGGTGGGAGGAGTCGTGATCGTGAGGTGAGACTAGAGGCGGGAGGAGATATCATGCTCGGGAAGAGTGGGCGGATAGAGAGGAGGAAGAAGAAGGAGAGAGAAAGGGAAGGAGGAGGAAGAAGAGGGAGATAAATGGGGTAACGTAGGAGGAAGAGTTGAAGGAAGGAAGGAAGAAGAAGAAAGAGGGACAGAGAGAAAATGGAGGAAACTAACACAGAGAGAAAGAGAGAGAGAGAGAGAGAGAGAGAGAGAGAGAGAGAGAAAGAGAGAGAGAGATTAAACCCTTGTCGTGAGTTGAAGCTTTACGTTGGTTGAATATTATACACACACACACACACACACACACACACACACACACACACACACTCACACACACATTGTCACATGATAAGTCACCTCACGCCTGACCCCCGGAAGTCTATAGTCCTCCTCAGTGAACACAATAACTTACTCACACTCCTTGGTTAACATGTGATAAAAATATGAAGTTTAATCCCTTGTTGTTGTTTTTTTTTTATAATTCCTATTTATTATTTTTATGAGAGAGAGAGGATTAATATATACCTGTGAGTTGTGTTATTGTTCACTGGTGCACAGGTAAATAGACAAACAGGTAGACAGATGGACAGGTAGGTATATAGAATGACAAGTTAGGTAGATAGATGGAAACACAGGTAGATAAATAGACAGGCAGGTAACTAGACAGACAGATAGATAGATAGACAGACAGACAGACAGACCGCGTCATACAATAATAAACTCCATATAATTATTTAAATATTTGTTTTATAAAATTTAACTAACAACTCGGCATTATACTTACACCTAAATAATACTAACAAGTATCATAAGATGTTTACATAACACAATTAATCGCAGGTGAAAATATCCAGCTTTATATTAGGTATTTATTTTCAACGTAGTATTTAAGGGTGAGGAAACCGGATAATTTACATATATATATATATATAATACCCATTTACACTCAAATCACTTCAATAACAGATCAAATATTACCTTAATTTGTAGTTGCATCTTTGTATGTATGTGTGAGTGTTTGTATTACTGTATAAATTCATCATATTACAGTAACAGTCTCCCTTAAAGGTTACAGTTTAGTGGTATTTCTCCCCTTATATATATATGTATGTTGTTACTGTATTATTCTAGAGACTTTAATTTAGGATGCAATTCGTGGTGTGGGAGCATATGACTGTTTGGTTAAGACTGGATTGTTTGTGTTGCGTGTCCAGGCACCGGCAGGGCCACAAGCGGAGTGCGGGCGACAAGTACGACTGTCCCCACTGTAACTACTCCACCGCTCATCTCCCTCACCTCCGCCGCCACCTGCGCCTCCACACTGGCTCCACGCCCTTCTCCTGTCCCTACTGCGCCTATGTTTGCAATAATCAGGTGAGTTCGTATACAGTACCTATCTCTTATATAGGTGTAGGAGTGTATCTTATCACCTCTTCTTTGTTATATATGTTCGATAGTAATAGCATTCGCCTCCTAGTACTAAATGTCGCTAGTTCACGCCCGAGGCTCCCCAGATCGACCCAGCTGTACATGGGTTATTGAATTTAGTTTGGGAAGTGAAGGTGGTCGAGTACAGTGCCCGGTCATGTTATCTCCTTGTGGGATGAAGTTCAGTAATCAGTGCGCTGTATTCTCACTGTTCCTAACGGCTGTATCTGTACCTGTTTTCCTGTAATATTGTGTTTTATGTAATGAACTGAGATTATGGGTAGTAGAAAATGATCACTTGTTTCAGGAGAACCTTCGTAAACACATGTTGAAGACCAAGTGCCACCCTGGAAGGTTCATGTACGAGTGCCGTCTGTGTGACCCTCTTCAGCATCCTCCTCCAGCAGGCGACCACGGCATCCCAGCCTCACACTCCCTCAACCTTACAGCATCTTCCTCTAGGTCTCTGGATCCTGGAACATCATCAGCTTCTCAACCTCTGGAAACTGGAAACTCAAAACTAATGGAGTTTGGAGTGTCTAAGTCTTTGGGTATTGAGGAGACACAGCCGCTTGGTCAAGAAGTGCCACTCTCTTTTGGCACGACCTCACACAACCTGGAACGTCACATCTTTAAGAGTAACTACGCGACGGAGTTCCAGGCTCACCTGCTGGAGAAACATAGATCATCATTTCAGACAAAGGAGGACGTGAGTAGTGCAGATGATTTGTTGTTTTGTCTTTCCAGTTTTATTTTATATATTTTTTTTTTTTAGATTTTACCGCAAAATCCAACTTTCCATAGATATAAGTTCTGTTTATATTTTTTTCTACTTTTTTTTTTAGATAATTTAGTTCTTGCATGATTATAATTCTTCTTTTAAAGGGATTCATACACTCATACACTCTAAAAGTTACCTGTTATCACCAGTTTTCTCTTACACAGTATTATATCATCCCTCAGCCATGACACACAGCACTGTTCAACCAATAGTGTTAGTCTTGCTCATTTACATGTTCGTGGTGATTAATTCTGAAGTTTGAAAATTACCCGATTAATTTTTTACAGCGTGTGCAATCATGTTAAATTCATGTTTGATTGACGTGATTTTTTAAATAAGTTTCTAGCACAAGTTAAATAGACGGATGTATTTGTTGTCGTTGTTGTTGCTGGTGTGTGTGTGTGTGTGTGTGTGTGTGTGTGTGTGTGTGTGTGTGTGTGTGTGTGTGTGTGTGTGTGTGTGTGTGTGTGTGTGTGTGTGTGTGTGTGTGTATTTTCTCTCTTATCAGTGTACATGTATGCGTTTGTGTATACAAATATACATTCATAAGCACGTGTATGTGTTCCAATACGTACATAGATGGATATGTGTACACTGTATTATATATACTATGTAATCTGTACTAAAAACAAAACAAAATTTAATAACCTCTCCATCATTATATTCCTGTTATTATTATATTTAATATCCGGTTATAATTACACATCACACATTCATTATTTGTATACTTTCACATTTTATCAATCACTTGACTTTCTCCCTGTTATTATTCACTATTATTATTACCATTGGCCTATTCATCACTTGTCGTTTCCCCTGTTATTATTTTTGGAGTAATTATCCTCTTTTCTCTGTCTAACTCAATTGTGTATTCAACTTGGTCTTGTTTTTGTTTTTCTTGTTCTTTTTACCTGTTGAAATTATCATCATATGAGTTATGTGATCTGGGTAAGGTGTTATTGCTTAATTCCTCATTTATCATTACTTTTCTTATTTCCTTTTTCTTATTACTCTAACTTTTACATCTCTGTTATTTTGTTATTTAATTCTCTCTATCTTCCTTTGTTTATTAATGTTATTATTTCCTTATTATTATTTGATTTGATTATTTCCTTTTGATTATTTCTTATTTTTGTCTTGAATATCAGCTGTTATTAAATTTCCTTTGTTTCTTATTACATTTATTCTTCTTTAATACCTATCATTATTATTATTATTTCTCTGTCTGTCTCTATCTCTCTCTTTCTCTCTCTCAACTTATATATTTTGTTTTATTATTCATATTTCTTTATTCTTTACTAAATACCTCCCGTTATCACCTCTCTCTCTCTCTCTCTCTCTCTCTCTCTCTCTCTCTCTCTCTCTCTCTCTCTCTCTCTCTCAACTTGTGTATTCAGGATGCGACTGATCACAGGAAGGTGTGGTGTCTTACTCATGCAGTATGTCGTGTAACTCGAATTATTGTTTTATTCATCCTGTTCACATTAGAGTCAGCCTCGAGACAAGTATATGAACCCGCGTCTGGGATTTATGATAACTGCAGTTGAACAGTGAACACGCTACGGCTCACTGGACTTGCTTGGCTTGGTTTGGCTTGGCTTGTCCTGGGCTGGGTTAGGTTTTAGGGTAGGTTGGCTCAGGTCATTGTGATATCTTGTTGTTGTTTTATTTTTCTCTTTGTGACTCCTGGGAGATATCGTCTCTAGGTGGCTAGAACGCATCGACTCTTACCGCTAGAACGCATCGACTCTTACCGCTAGAACGCATCGACTCTTACCGCTAGAACGCATTGTCTCCTGCTGATAGAACGCGTCGACTCTTAACTGTTAGAATGCGTCGTAACTTCCCGCTAGAACGCGTTGACTTTTACCGCTAGAACGCGTCAACTCTTATCACTAGAGCGCACCGATTCTTACCACTAGAACGCATCGATTATTATTACTTATAGAACGCATTGCCTCTTATTGATAGAACGCATTGCATCTTACTGGTAGAACGCATCGACTCTAATTTCTAGATGTCGCCTCTGACCGCTAAAACGCATCGTCTGTGGCTAGAACGTTTTATTTACATTTTGAGTTATCGTTTTCCTGTGTAATTTCGTCTCGAAGTGTTGGAATGTTAATCGAGTCATTATTCTGTTATGTAATCTTGTCTCCAGGTGCCAGATGTTATCACTATGTAAATACGTCAGTTATAATTACTACCTCTAAACTTTATGGCCTCACAACCTCAAAACTCTTGCATTGTAACTCCAACTTTCAATCTCAGACCTCCAAGTTTTAATCCTCAACCTCCAACCTCAAAACTTTCAATCTTCTCCTCCAGCCTCCACCTTCAACTGCTAAACTCCCCGTAAGATCCCAAAACTCCAAAACTCCCCTAAGACTCCCCAAGACCCCAAAACTCCAAAGCTCCCACACGACCCCAAAACTCCCCCAAAACCCCCAAAAAACTCCCCAAGACTCCAAAACTCCTACGACCCCCAAAACTCCCCAAGACCCCCAAAACTCCCCAAAACCCCCAAAAAACTCTCCAAGTCCCCAAAACTCCCCCAAGACCCCCAAAAAACTCCCCAAGACTCCAAAACTCCCCAAGACTCCAAAACTCCCCAAGTCCCCAAAACTCCTCCAAGACCCCCAAAAATTCCTACAAGACCCCAAGACCCCTCACTAGACGACACCATAATTAATCGATCACAAATTATTATTGATCTTAATAAACTTTGATCGAAGGAATTATAAGTCTTAGTTAATTAGCACATTACTGCATAAATTAGAATGGTAAATTAAGTGTTTATAATGACCAGGAAATAATAGCTTAAGATTTAGACGGATAAAAAAAATACTAGAATTTAATAAAAATATAATGTAAATGGGAAATAAAATAATTGAGTAAATGTAGAATAATAATAGAATAAGATAATAGAAAAATAAGCAAATAAGGATCAATAAATAAAGGTTGAAGGATAATAAAATAAAAGAAGTGAAAGAATAGAATAAAATTACCATGAAATAAAATAATTTGTTGATAATAAAAAAATATTAAATTCAATAAACCAGAATAAACGAAAAAAAAATAATAAAAAATTCAATGAAATATATTGAAACAAGAAATAACAATAATACTAAAAAAATAAAAATATTCAAATAAACCCCCCCCAAAAAATGATCGATTCAAACAATAGATAAATTACAACGAAACACCAAAAATTAAATAATAGCGATGAGTTAAATAAAAGCAAAAATATAAATGCATAATTAAGGACGGCCGCTATTGACAACAAAAGACCTTGGTAAGAATTTATGCTTGTGAAGGACAAACATATTTCAAGATTGCATCAACATCATTTGGCGTTAAGTTATTTTAGCGAGTCTGTCATGGGTCGTATATGAAACTACCCCACCCCCACCTCCCTACCCCACCCCCCCACTACCCTACCCTTCCCCCATCCCTCTCTACCTCGTAATTATTGCCTCCCTACCCCTCTCCTCCTCCCCACTCCATCCCACTCCGACAATCTTATTCCCTACCACACCAAACTTACCCAAACACTCACACTTCGCCAAACTTTTACACTTCGCCAAACTTTTACACCCCTATCTACACCCCCTATCCCACTTCGCCAAACCTTTACACTTCGCCAAACTCTTACACCCCTATCTACACCCCCATCCCACTTCGCCAAGCCTACAGGTATTTCCCCCACCCCCCCTCCCCCTTTCCCTCCCCGCTCCCCAGTTAATTTTCCCCTCACCTACCTGTCTCGTTCTACCATCACCACCAGTATCCCCCTTCCTTTCTTCCATCCAATCCCCTTCCTTCCTTCCTTCCTTCCTTCCTCACCCATTCACCTCCCCCAAAGTCCTTAGATTAATAGGAAGAAAAACGTCCGTGGTGTGGAAATAAACGTCCGTGGAGGGGAAAACTGTCCTTGGCGGGGAGAAAAAAGTTCTTGATGGGGAGTTTGATATTGGGGAGTAGGGAATAGTATGGGTCACTGGTGCGTCGTTTTCCCCCTATTGGTTACTAACTTCCCCCAAAGAGTTAAACCATCATCCTCAAAGAGTTAAACCATCATCCTCAAAGAGTTAAACCATCATCCTCAAAGAGAAACCATCATCCTCAAGGAGTTAAACCATCATCCTCAAAGAGTTAAACCATCATCCTCAAAGAGTTAAACCATCATCCTCAAGGAGTTAAACCATCATCCTCAAAGAGTTAAACCATCATCCTCAAAGAGTTAAACCATCATCCTCGAGGAGTTAAACCATCATCCTCAAAGAGTTAAACCATCATCCTCAAAGAGTTAAACCATCATCCTCAAAGAGTTAAACCATCATCCTCAAAGAGTTAAACCATCATCCTCAAAGAGTTAAACCATCATCCTCAAAGAGTTAAACCATCATCCTCAAAGAGTTAAACCATCATCCTCAATGAGTTAAACCATCATCCTCAAAGAGTTAAACCATCATCCTCAAGGAGTTAAACCATCATCCTCAAAGAGTTAAACCATCATCCTCAAAGAGTTAAACCATCATCCTCAAAGAGTTAAACCATCATCCTCAAGGAGTTAAACCATCATCCTCAAAGGGTTAATTACAACACCTTTTCCTCTTCTTTCCTCCCCAGATAACGTTACACATCAGGAGTTACTACCGCGCTGAGGAGGACGCCACTGTTACCACCACTCCGCTCCTCTTCGTCCACAAGCAGCGGCTCAGGTACTCTCATCCAACACCTGCTGTCTCTAACTTCACTATACATACACCTTCACTCTTTATTACGTCATCTCACATCACCTGTACACATTCTACCTCCTAATTACATCATCTCACATCACCTGTATACATTCTACCTCCTAATTACATCATCTCACATCACCTGTATACTTTCTACCTCCTAATTACATCATATCACGTCACCTGTATACATTCTACCTCCTAATTACATCATCTCACATCACCTGTATACATTCTACCTCCTAATTACATCATCTCACGTCACCTGTATGCATTCTACCTCCTAATTACATAATCTCACGTCACCTGTATACATTCTACCTCAATACATCATCTCACATCACCTGTACACATTCTGCCTCCTTAATACAGCATCTCACCACACTATACTCCATACTCCTTAACACGTAAACATCAAGATTTATTTATAGTTTTTTATAGTTAACATAATAAACACTGAACGTAATAATCAGAATTTTCATGTCAACTAGATGTGGGTTTTTTTCTGTGTTTGTTATATATGATCTAAACGTATTGGAGATTGATCAGTCAAATACCATAGAGATTTATTAGGTGTATTTTGGTTATTATAGTCAGTAATAGATTCAGAAGTTAATAAATTTCCCCCTCCAATGTATTTTGTAGTTTTTTTTTAATGTTTACAATGTTTTTGTTTTTTTAGATCTGAATCAATGTGAATTTCTATGCTACTTATGGTGAATAGATATGTCTGCCTGTCTGTCTGTTTCTGTCTATTTGTCTGTCTCTGTCTGTTTCTCTCTATCTGTCTGTTTGGTTATCTATCTATTTATCATACAGACGCCCCAGTGGTTCTCGGCGCGTCAAATGCGAGGACCCAGACGACCCGGGTAGCGAGGACACTGAAGAAGGTGAGGAGGACGTCCTCTCTCAGATCAAACGCTCGCTGGACATCGGGGAGTATGTGGCCGACAACAAGGGTCCACATGACTCTGAGGGGAGGCCAGGCAACACCGGGGAGGAAGCGGGGATGATGGGGAGGAGAGGAGACGAACTGCAAGGGGAGGTGGAGAGAGTGACCGCTTCCAGTAACTTTCCTCTTGATGCAGGTAAGTGAGGTCAGGGAGTGATGGGAGTAACCTCTAACAGGGTGATGTCAGGGGGGGGGGAGTAACCTCTAACAGGGAGAAGTCAAGGGGGGGGGGGTTAAGGGGGATCAACAACATGAGATCATAAGGAGGAGGAGTAAAACAAATGGAAGTATCGTGGATCATGTTAACGAGATAAGTTTGTCGTCTGTATTTACATCACCTTATCACCTTATCATACAATCTTTCCTCCTTGCCACAAAAAACAGTGATTTATGTCTGCTAAATCGTCCTGCCTGTTATTATTCAATGGATGTGACAACAGACTGACTTTATCACGCCTAGAGCGTTAGAGTTTGTTAGGTACAGTCACCTACTAAAGTCCATTCCCTTCTCTCCTTCTGAACCACGAACCCTGAAATTCAGACTCATGAACCTGAAGCAGTATAACTGATACATTATTCTCCCCATAAATATTTCGGATTCGTGAGTCTGAATCTAGGGGTTCATGGTTCAGGAGGAGAGGCGAACGGACTTTAGTAGTTGATTGTACAGCTTGTCTCTTAACTATACTGGTATAACAGACGGCATCGGAACATTATTCTCAAAGCAAATGACAACATTACCTCAATTCTTCTCCTTGTTGTATGGCACTAACTGTTCTTACTACGTGAATGTCTCTCCAAATAATCAAGAAGCTTCAAATCATAGTTCAGTTCGGTACTAGAGGGGTTTAAACCACCTTGATTCTTAATATTCCAGACTGTTATAAATCAAGGCACCATCTTATCAAATCTAAATGTTATTATTCACTACGCCAGTCATATCATCTAGAGTAGATTAAATTATGAAGAGTACCACTGAATAGTGTAAAATACACCCACATTGTCCTTGGTGTAACACCCCAAAGTGACCTAAGACACACAGAGACACTTACAGACAGGTAGACGGTGATATACTACACCTGCCTAATCAACACTAAGAATTAAGTATTAAGTAATTTCCTATACGTTGTCTTGAAAGATTTTCGATATACAACAAATACAAGAAGAGGTAGTTGTAGCATCTATGTTCGTTTTCTGTTCGAAGTTGACACCACTGACACCTTTTTTAACATTAACTTATTTTTTTTTCAGGTGCCCGAGGTGTCCCAGAGCACCAGTTCCCTACAGGTCCAGGCAGTCGTGGCCCGAGGTCTTACCTGCGCACTGCCGGCCGGCCTTCCATCTTCAGACCTGGCCACGCTCAGAGCAACACAGCCCACCCACTGAGGATCGTGGTAGGTGTGATGGAGGAGGTGTGATGGGAGGGGGGGGTTATAATAGGTGTGTAATGGGGTGTCACATATCTTCACCCCTCCCTCCACTCTTCCCACCCCCTCCACTCTTCCATCCACTCCTCACTCCACTCCTCACTCCACTCCTGCCTCTACCCTTCCTTCCACTTTCCCTGAATAACTACGATGTATTGTGTTACCAGACGTGTAACAGAATCCCTCGACACTTGGCAATATCTGGCATCTACTTGTGTTCATATATGCTTCGTTGATATTTGGTGGACGCTACTCATCATTATGAATTATGTCAAAATAACAGTTTAAAGAATATATAGAATAAGAAAAAACAGAATAAATAATGTTTTCTCAATTTTCCAGTCACATGTGGTTGGTTTTTAGTCTCATCAAATGTGTTGTATCGTTGTTTCATATTACTTTTGATCTTTATAATCTTCAGTGAAACTTTACCCTGGCTTGTTTCTTCTCACCCTCGTTATGGTGAGATCAACAGTGGACATTTTAGTATCAGTGGTGACTATTCCTGACTTACTCGGGTCTTTGACTTATTACTTTGCTACTTAACAGAGAACAGGAACACAACGAGTTACTTATTACTGAGGTTTTATTTATTTTTTTCAATTTACATACAACCAATATCTATGATCATTAATGTCTGACTACCACCACACAGATCCAGCACATACCGGAGGCCAACCCAGGTGAGGGTGAGGACGACGGCACTCGTCAGGTGATCCTCATACTGCCTGACAAAGTGGGAGAGCAACCGGGGGACGTGGCCGCCCTCCTCCCCTCCCTCGGCCTTACTACCTCCCCAGCCGACTGTGTCTCCATCGCCGCCGTTCAGTCTAAGCACCTTCAGCACCTCCAGCACCCAGGAGACCAGGTGATCTTATGTCTCCTTGTTTATTACCTTATAAAAGTTTTCATTTTTCTGTATTTACTATCCACTCAACTGTGATGTTCTCTTGTACAGAAAGACATACAACTCATACAGCGTTAAACTGTTTAATAATTATTAAACCTTTGCTCCTTCATCAGCTGCAAGACACATCTCAGGACCAACACATCGTAGTGGGACATTCTCACAGTCAGCCACAGTCAACCAAGGACCCACCTGACGGCGCTGTCATCGTACAGACGGATCAGGTAATCACCCTTGACACACAGGTGGTGGCCGATGCTACGATTATCTCGGGGGAGTCAGGTGTTGCTTCCCAGCATCAGAATCCGATGATGTTGTGTTCTCAGGCGCACCACCGACAGCAGCACCACCATCATCACCATCACCAGCAGCAGATTCTTCACACGGCTCATGTCTTTAATCCCCTACAAGTTGTAGCTGAGGCAGCCGAGGTGTTGACACAAGGCGAAGGTCTCACTCCTCACACTCACGAGGTATTGGCTCAAACTCCAGTGTCTCGGGAAGCTCTAACTCAAACTACAGTAAATCATGAGGTTCTGAATCAACCTCCAGTGTCAGAAGAGGTTATGAGTCATCCTCAAATTACTCAAGAAGTCCTGACTCAGACTCAAGTTACTCAAGAGGTCCTAACTCACCCTCCAGTCACCCAGAATATTTTGACAAGACCTTCTAGTACTCAGGAGTCGCATATACTCGAGGCAGCAATATTTGAGGACGCCAGAGGTAGCCAAGCCCAAGAAGCATCCAGCATCCTGCAGCAAGAGGCAACACAGCTGAATTTTGTGAACGAGCAGGAAGTACCTTCAGGAGACCAATCGAAACGCCAGGGCGAGGAAGAAGGCGCTGGAGAAATTATATACTCCTTCACCCTCCAGTAAGTGCGTTGATGAACTGGCAAATCCCGAGTCTAAATACATGAAGAATTTGCTTCAAACAATAAATGAAGCAATGGAAGAGAACTCAAGATAACGCCTCATGACAAACAGGAAGAATGTCCCTTATGTTTATTGTTTATACACTTGGCTTTAATATGATTTATTCTCTTACAGTATTATTTATTGTGATCACATAGGTAGCAATATTTAATCCAGCAAGTTGCCTACGGAGCATCAAGTGTCGAAAGCCTTAATCTGACACTGGTGCATCTGAGAATGTTACTCACTGTAATGATTTCTGGCACACTTGATTCACCTCCGGTAGAGTTCCTACATCAGTGTCGTGTTTACGTCTGTGACTCAGGCACAGACCGCAGGATAATTAAGCCCCTCTTGCTCGCGTCGCTCTTGAGGACACTGAATATTGTTAGACTCTTTATTAACTCGTGTTTCTTCTATTTAGTATTAAATATATAAATTTGAAGTAATACATCTATGCAATATGTATGCACAGTTAATTTATAATGCAAAAAGTAATATTACCGTGTTAGTGTTAAGAGTCATATATGTACAGTACAGGACATTCTCGACCTGAGTTTTGAGACCAATAAAATATTGTAGTAAATATTGCATCCAAGGAGTTATATATTCCAATTATCTATGTCATGACTATTAAGAAATATGTAAAGTATGTATATGTATAATATACATATACGGGTGTAAGACATATATGTTAGTGTTAATTTTAACCTAACAGTGTTGCCATGTAGTCATATAACTCCTGAGGTATATTTCTGCTCAAAATTACCTCAGTTTGCGCCTTGTTCATCAGGATCAGTCAGTCGGCGGGCTTCTTCCTCCCTTTCATCTATATCACAGTTTTATTTTTTGTATTTAAAAAGAGAAAATATCCACCTCTGCCTACCTGTTCCCTCCTCTGCTTCACCTACATCATCTATAAACACAGTCCTGTATTGTCCTTTTGAGATGTGATAATAATACTCATCATTTATCTGTACACCTACGTTGGTCTGGATTCCTTACATGATCGTCTCTTTCCTATAATGCTCATATACTCACCATACACTCACCATACATACACTCACCATACACTCACCATACATACACTCACCATACATACACTCACCATACACTCATCATACACTCATCATGTACCACACAACAAACCACTCCTTTTCTATACTCATCTCAGACGTTCATCAACAACATTCATCTTTGTATTAATTTGACTATGCTTGTGATGGTGTTGGTGTTGGTGATAGTGATAGTGATGGTGTTAGTGTTGGTGATAGTGGTGGTGTTAGTGTTAGTGATGGTGATGGTGTTAGTGTTGGTGATGGTGTTAGTGATGGTGATGGTGTTAGTGATGGTGATGGTGTTAGTGTTGTTGATGGTGTTTGTGTTGGTGATGGTGTTAGTGATGGTGATAGTGTTGGTGGTAGTGTTAGTGATGGTGATGGTGTTAGTGTTGGTGATGGTGTTAGTGTTGGTGATGGTGTTAGTGTTGGTGATGGTGTTAGTGATGGTGATAGTGTTGGTGGTGGTGTTAGTGGTGGTGATGGTGTTAGTATTGGTGATAGTGTTAGTGTTGGTGATGGTGTTAGTGTTGGTGTTAGTGATGGTGATGGTGATAGTGTTGGTGGTAGTGTTAGTGATGGTATTGGTGAAATTAAACAAAAATAGAATAAACAGTAATAAGTTAATAATATACACAGTAAAAATTTGATAAAGATTAACAAGAAGGTGAGAATATCCTGTTCCATATAGCATTAGATTAACTTTCTGATGACTAATGACTCTCTCCCGGACTGTACGTGTATCTGTAGTTATGGGAGGTACAGTATAGTATGGGTGGGAGACTGTTGATAGCTGGGGCACACTATAGGCGTATGGGCGTGTGACAATCTCGTGTTGAATTGCGTGGGCGTGTATGACAACCTCTCAAGTGTGTGTGTGTGTGTGTGTATGTGTGTGTGTGTGTGTGTGTGTGTGTGTGTGTGTGTGTGTGTCGCTAGATCTAGAATCAATGGGGGTATGTAGGAGGTCAAACTCAAAGGTATGGGTAAGGGTAGAATTGGTTTTAGTACTGCAGGTATGTGTGTATATGTGTCTGGCTTCAACATATACATGGAGAACTGAGCTAAGGTTGTGAGAGCGATAGTATGTATGGATGATTGGTCTCGAATGTATTAGTGAGTGAAAACTTGGCTCAAATATCTGAAGCTGTGTAAAGGCCTAGCTTGTATTTATAGGCTTGTATGAAAGCTTAGTTCAGCTGTGGTAGGTGAGTAGTGAAGGTGAAACAGAAGTACTGCTGGCAGGTATGGGGACGTGTACCGGTCATGCGTGTTGCTGTTTGTGTTGTCGAGAGTCGTTGAGGCTGCGTCGTGTGACATAGGACATAATTGTATAGATGCATAAGGTGTGATAGACTCAATAGATGTATGTGTACGGAGATGTGCTGAGACGTGTGTGTGTGTGTGTGTCCAGAGTCCACGTTCAAAATGGTGAGGGAGAGTGGTGAGGACCCAGTAGTGTGGGAGGAGTATGCTGTAGATATTCAAAAGATATGTGAGTTGTACAGAAATAACTAGGACTGTGTATGTGGGCATGTGTCGGAGATGTTACTCAAACATGCGAGACTGTAGACTCCATACTCAAAGATATAATTAAGTATGATACAGAACTAGATGGGCATGCGCAGAGTCCATACTGAAGGCTATGGGGCGTGCGGAGATAGCCTCATGCGCATGGGCGTGTGTAAGAGAAAGCCAGCCAGCAGCAACAGCAGGTAGGGAAGACTAGTACACAAAGCCCAGCTACGACATGTGGCACGAGGAGCTTGGGAGGAGGCGAGTTCTCTCACACAAACACACGCACCACGACACCACCACCTCCATCCCTTTTCACCCACTGTTATCTCTGATACACACAGCCTCCAATAACTCCCCGCCAGCCATTAAGCAACGATTAGTAAACTCGGTCCTGCGACTCGGCGTGGAGAGCAACTGAAGCGAAGTTTGGGGCACCGCTGGCCTGGCTTCAGCGACGGCAAGTTTATGAAATATCAATACCAGCGTGTCTACCAGGCCGAGTTATTACCCAGCGCGCGCTCCTTCCTCCTGCTTACTTGTTAATCTTTATGCGCCCAGGAAAACCCCCTCAACCGGCAACTGCTGGCTGGAGGGGCTGTCTGTCTGTCTGTCCTGTCGTCTGTCTGTCTAATAACCTGTCCTTTTGTGTTTATCTGAACAAACTTCCTAACACTTCTTTGTCTGTGTGTTCAACTGTGTTTCTTCTTGTGCAGCTGAGTGAAGTGTTTGTTAGCGTGATGGCTTTTCTCTTTGTATATACGACTCAATGTCTCTCACTTACTTCCTTTGGGTGGAAATACTTGCGTGTGTCTGTGTAATTGCCTGTCTACCTGCCTGTCGTCTTGTCTGTCTGAGGAGCGGCCCGTGTCTTTGTGTGTCAGTTCAGGTACTCGTCTTGAAGGAGTTAGTGTAAGTTGCTCATTTTCGTCGTAGTTTCTCCCTCGGCTCTCCACTTAACCATTCCACCTACCCATCCTGTCACTTTTCCACCTCCGTATTTATCATCCCTCCTTTCCACTTCACCATACTTATTTTTCCATCTCACCCCCCCCTCACCCCCCCCTCACCCCCACTACTTCTCCATTTCAATACCTTTACCTTTTCACCTCACCGCCCAAACTTTCCATCTCACCACCCCATCTTCTCACCCCACCTCTCCCCCTCACTACCCCACCTTACCACCTCATCTCACCACTTCACCATTCCACCTCACCACACCACTCCACACCACCTCACCACACCACACCACTCCACTACCTCATTTCTTTAAGGTCGTAGTAAAAAAAACCACAACATAAGTTTTTTTTCCACTCTGTAATAGACGAAAGAACTAACTCCAGGTAGGTCAAAGAGGGTTGGCGAAAATACGTGAATAAACTGAATTAATCGTTGCGTAAAATGACGTTATTTGCATTTTGAGGTGAAATGATACTGGGATTTGGGGATTTATTTACATGTGGATAAAAGATAATTAGGTTATAGAATGCCGTCATGAAGTAAGCTAGGAGATACACTGGAATTTTACAGATTATAGGACAAAAATTTAATCAGGTTACGTAATACAAATCACGGAGCAAGACAGTAATACAGTGGAATTTCAAAGATTATCAGACAATAATACCTTGAGTAAAACAACACATTCTTGACGTAGACGAGCAATTCCTTTGATTTTGGAAGACTGTGAAAGAGAAATAAATTAGGTTACAAGTTAAAGCCTTAAGGTAGTCCAAAACGTCTTCCCCTCCCTGCTACCAACACTACTGCACCCTCCCACCTCTGCCACTAACACACACTACAGTACTACACTCTTCCCCCCTGCCACCAACACCACCACATTCTCCCCTCCCTGCCACCAACACTACTACACCCTCCCCCTGCCACCAACACCACCACATTCTCCCCTCCTGCCACCCAACACCATTCTCCCTCCTGCCACCAACACTACTACACCCTCCCCCTGCCACCAACGCCACCTCATTCTCCCTCCTGCCACCAACACTACTACACCCCCCTGCCACCAACACCACCACATTCTCCCTCCCTGCCACCAACACTACTACACCTCCCCTGCCACCAACACCACCACATTCTCCCCTCCCTGCCACCAACACTACTACACCCTCCCTCCCTGCCACCAACACCACCACATTCTCCCCTCCCTGCCACCAACCCTAATCTCTCGTCTGCATTCATCATAATTATCATACAGGAACATTTTTAGTGTTATGGTTTTGTGGGCTGTTACTGGCATGGTGGTACTTGATGAGTGAGTATGACTTGGTGACGTGTTGATGCCAGGGTAGAGGGAATTTGATATGAGGAGTAGGGGAAGAGGAGGAATGGGGAGATGAGGAGGAGAAGGGGAGAGATGGAGGAGGAGGAAGAAGGGAAGGAGGAGAAAGAGAAGGAGATGAAGAGAATGGGGAGGAAGAGGAAGAGGAGCAGACTGAAAAGGAGAAGGAGGAGGAGGGAGAGGGTAGGAAAAGGAAAAAAGAAGAAGAGAGGGAGAAAGAAAAGCGGAAGAGAAAGAGAAAAGGGAGGAGGAGGTGGAGAGATAGAAGACATTCACGCTATTGTGTTTGCATCACCAGAGAAAATAATAATCTCAGGTGTATGGCTGTAATGAAAACATATATACAGGTGTAAAGTAATATGGGAGCCGAGGTGTATTCAGGCGTGGGAGAATGATCGCGTGGGGGGGTTAGTTAGCGTGCGCGTGCGAAAATGTAGGGATGTAGAAGTGTGAGTGTGCGTGTGTGTGTGTGTGTGTGTGTGTGTGTTGGGATGGAGGTGAAGGGGGCATGGGAATTATTGTACATAGGCGTGGGAGTGTGATAACGCGGAAAGACATGGATAGGTAAGGACATGGGAGCAGCGTGAGTAAGAAGACTAAGGTGGAGAAGGACGAAGGAGGAGAGAGGGGCTAGCAAGGGGTGGCGTGCAGGATAAGGGTGCAAATAAAGATCTTGGCAGGCCGCTAGCG